TTCGGCAATATCCAACTCCGGTGTTGGTGTCACAGGTAACACTAGCGGAACTTCAGTGGGACTCATCAAAGGGTACAAAATACCGAAAAAGAAAACAACCAGCCAATCGAATTCAATTACTCCATCCAGTGGAATGGGAAAATCCGAAACAAATACACCTAGTGCGACCAGTTCAAATTCATCGGACGGTGGTTCCAAAACAATAGGCAAAAATTTACAGGCGGAGCCAGTCAAAGAGAACTCCGATTATTCAGGACATCCGTCAAATCAAAATTCTGCCAACCTTTCCGGCTCGCACGTCTCCACTACATTGTCTTCGTCAGTGCCGACTACTTTCGTCACCAAGTCGGATTCGGTGTACGTTGCACCTAATTCACAGGCACTACCCCAGCAGCTTCCTATGTCGTCGACCACATCAGGATCAGCCGCTGCCGCGGGTGCCAATTCTTCAGCTTCTCAACCTCGCCGACGGATCAGCGACATTGTGGACAAATTGCGGGCTAAATCCTCCAGTTCGTCGTCTAGTACATCGGGATCCGGTGCAACTTCGGCCGGCCCTGATGGTCCCGTTGCACCTGAGATTGATCGATCTAACCCTTCCTGCGAACCATTTGAAACAACTGCCTCGCAGAGTGCCAGCGGACAGTCGGATCAACGTGGGGATAACATATTCGAAAAGTTTTGTTCTAGGTAAGTGCAAAGATTTTGCATTCGTTTGTTGTCATCTGAGCTCAGAATCAAAGCTTTCGCTTCTCTACAGAGTCTTTTTCTATCCTAACACCATGATTACGCTTTGATCCACAGTGCTCCCACACCAACAGACTCCAAACAATCAGGTCAGGGTGACGGAGCCCACAGAAGTCCCGTTTTCAGTGCCGAGGTGAACATCGGGCAAGGTTCCAGTTCGAATCAAACTTCACCGTATCACGCCGCCACAGATGATGGTCCTGTGGATGGAACGACTACTACCGGAAATTCGGATGAGCGCCCGGTCGATGATGAGCCAACTAATGGATCTACTACGAGCTCGAAGCCGAAATCCAAACAATACGAGGTCAGTCATCCGATTTATGTTCATTTTGGTCCGATTTGGCATTGATTGAACTGACATTTTGTTTATCGCACCTAACGTTCATCATTCTTTTTTAGCTATGAGGTGTGTTCAACCCAAATCTGTGAATGTATATGCTTGAAATCAGCATTATGCCAACTCATAGTCTTCAAATGCTCTGTTTGAGGGGTGGTGGCCGAGTGGTTAGGTCACCAACTAGTGACCTGGGTGTCCTGGGTTCAAATCGCTCCACCGCTGCCCGTCTTCCCTATATCTGTATTTCCCCCAGGCAGCCTTTCTGTGACCGCAGCCCCCTTCCTGAAAGTTGACTGTACATTTGTATATTCAATAAATAGAAAAAGGAAGTAAGAAGACATTTTTATTTTTATTGTTTTTGTTTAACGCAATATAACACAGCTGAGAAAGTGTTGTTGTTCGATGATAAATGTGAATTTCAATTGCAAATGAATTGTTCTTATTTTGCAATAAACGTTATTCTTAACGTTCGTGCTTCTGGTTTGAACCATCTCCTGACTCCATTCACTCCTCCCCATTGTGCAATCTTCATTCTCTTCGGT